TAGCTTACAGTCTATTTATTTGTCTATATCTCTGTTACAGTCAGACATGCACGAAACTTTTCATTTCGTAAATTTATAATTCATTTATTGTATATGGAGCAGTTTTACTTGAGCAGTTTGGGAAATTAAAGTTATATAGGAAATCAAGGATTAACAGTTGGGAAATTACTAGAAACATAGGGTATATTTGTGAATTAAGACTATCTGTAAGAAGGACTAGATTTTTATAAAGATAACTATGAACAAATGTTCAAGCTCACAAAAATAAAAAAACTTAAATATAAATTATTCCGAATACATTTTTTAATTTTCAAAATTTATAAAATTGAAAATGAAATAATTAATATTAAGAAAAGATTAGAGCAGCATCAGATCAGATTTATTTTCTGTAAAGTGGACTTTGTTTTTCAGTCTACTTACCTAACGATGATTTGCTGGGACGGTGTTCTTGGTTTAACAATGCTGTTTCAAAAGAACGTATCTTCGATTAAAGTGTAGCTATTATTGGGGATATATTATGGCGAGGCCCTTAAATGTGTCTTAAATGTGTTTTTATCAGTAAAGATGTCATTTTACTACAACATATAATTTATTAGATTAAAATATGCTTAAATGTTTTTATTGAGTTGTATCTAGAAGAAGAAGCTCTGTTGTAGTGGTTGTATTTTTGGAAGCCATCAGCGATGGTTAATGGGTATAGCATATAGCTAATTAATTCCTAAGGTTGTGCAGTAGGGGGCGTGGTGTAGTTGATAACAAAATGGTGTAGTTGATAACCTTAACAAAACCAATACTCAAAATGGATTTTCTCTATGGTGATAAATGATAATGAAATATTTTAAACAGTTTTAGAAAGGGCACTAAATATTGTATCTAAATTACGAGCCCGACCTGTACCCGATAAGTATACCATAAGATATAGTAACTTTTAAAATTTGTACTTTCGTCAATTTATTTAATGCTATTTTAGATTATATCATCAGTGACTTTGCTAATTTATTCTATCTAATTAAATAATCACATTATCAAATTTTCTAAAATTATAATTAAGGAAAGTCAGACGTAAAACAAAAATAAAAATATCCTCTTATACTAATTAGCTTGTATTTAACATATCGCTTTTTGAAATTTGAAGTCAATTATAAACAACAACTTCCGCTTCTCGCAAATGTTAAATGTGTGAGAACACACATTTCCCCCACAATTTGCATAAAAGTATATATTTTTAACGAAGGACACGAAAAAAAATATGACAATTGCATGTATCACTAAATGAGTACTTAATAAAAATTTTTTCAAATTATTCATATTAAGTAATTTAACATTTAGAATTTTATTCGTTGTGCAATATACAGGTGTTTTTGTTTTACAAGATAAAAAATTATAAGTAAAAGTGGTTTCCTGTCAATTAAGTAATCTTGATTCATTTTATAGCATAAAAAAGTTTTTGTATAACGCTCATCTGCATACTATTTGTTTATTAAATTATATTTCGGTTTTTACTAAACTCGTTCTATTTAATTTTGTCGTCTGAAGAGCACTTCCATTTCCGAGTTATTTTTTGGATACTGAACATTATTCAGTAAATAACCTGATGATATCTAGCCCTTTCTGAATTTTTTATTTTAAAAAGCCATCGTTCTCGATTCGTGCCTTACTACTTTAAGTTGTTGTCAATAAACAATTGTGAGTTTAATTAGTTTATTGTACATATTAATACTCATCTACATAATATTAGTTTTTTTATTATTTCATTCTTATCAAATCCGTTCAATTTTGTTTTATAGTGGATTATTGAATACAAGTTGATTTATTTTTGGATGCTGTTTATTTTACAGCAAATAACCTGTAATAGACTTAAAAAATTCCTCGCTTCCTCCACGTCTTTCCGCATGTCCCAATCCTAAATTATCTAATTGTGGGCGTTGCCGATTATTCCGACTCGTAATTCTTAACCTTGTTTACCTGCTTTGTATGAAATTTATAAAACACGTCATACCCTTTCTTGGTTCATTTATGTGATATCCACACCTCTTAGTTTGAATAAGAGTAAGGGAAAAAAGGCTGTAGGTAATTTAATTTTTCCTTCAACCATTTCTTTTTAATTGTCAGCCAAACTGCCTTTACTTTTTAAAACTGCCACGCATTTCAAGTTATTACTTAAAAGTAAAAATCTCGTGCCAATCAATATTTGCCTTCCTTTGCTTTAAGGCACACAATTAAAATTGTAATTGCCTCCGTTAAAATGTCACACATTTTATTAACAAATATATTGCGTTTGTACTTAATATATATTAATTTGTTTGCTTGGTTGGCTTTTAAAACAATTTTTGTACTATTTTCCCATCAACTTGAGTTGCGTTATTTTATAAATTTACTTAATATATATTAATTTTAATTAATAATTAATATAAAGTAATGTTGTAATTATCGTATTCCTTCTGATAGCGACTTTATATCCTCTAATTCCTGAAGTGTCCTTCTACTACATATTAGAGGCAGTCTTTAATTTTTATTATAGACATGACTGTTTAGTTTACAAGGAATAACAGAATAAAGACAGTAACTAACATCTGTTATATCACAACGGCAGCACTTTTAAGGCGAAGCGATTAGAATAAACTAGGTTGCAATTGCGTAAGGATTACGAGTATGAGCAAAAAAATTCGGCATCTACGAAAGTACGAGTGCTAGCAAAGTTTAAAATTCTAAAGACTGTTTAAGACTACATAATAACACTATAATAAACACCAACAGGCTAAAGCCTATGCCTTGTACTCTAAGCACAAGCATAACAAGCACATTTATAGTTGGATCATCCAACTTCCAAAAAATGAACCCAAACACCAACACATACAGCCCGTCATATATGTATATTTTTAAGCATTTACCAATTTACAATTATATTCACTTATATTTTGTAAATTCTATTCAACACTTGTGACACAAAAAACGTTGCGTATTACCGACTTACGGAAATTAGGGCGGCACTTTGCCTGTTTATTTATTAACTAATTAAGTTTCATTGGAGGATACACGGAAATCTCTCTAATATTCGGATCCGAAAACGACATTCAAACCTAGCCTATTAGGATATCCTGCCATTTTTGGATCCGGATATCTGAAACTACCAAACTATTGCCTTCATAACTTTATTCAATTTTAGCTAGAAAACAGTTGGTATTTTTTCTAGTTGGGTTTTCCAACTTCCAAAAAATGATCGTCTGCCAATTCTTTAAATCTTCTCAAGATCTATCTTTAAATACTTTATCAATTTAATTTAAATAAACATATATTTTGTATATAGACTCTGAACTTGAAATTAGACTCATTAATTAATTTTCGAGATTCAGGGACGGCACCTTTCTAGGCTTATCTTTATCATCCTAGTTTAGTCACCAACCTGATGTTGTTTTAGCACGCATATTCATTCGATCTAAGGGGCAAAGGGGTTGGAATTCTAATTGAAAAACAGACTATGATAGTAAATGTTTAGCAAAAGCTTTTCCACCGGGTCGGATTCTAACCTAGACAAGCTTACATTTGCATGCGCTCTACCGACTGAGCATAGACTAACATTTATATTGTTGGTATTTCCAACATCCAAAAAATAAAGATCAGTGACGACAAAGCCGCATTCTTACTTATTTCTGGAAAATTACTGTTTAATTTCAATTTAAATATTAGCTATGGTGTAAATAACAAAGTATCTATATCGAATTCTATTGTTATCTTTTTTCGTATTTAGCTATAGTTTGGGAACGTAATGACAAATTTTTAACATTTTAAGAGTTTTTCAAAACTGAGTCTTTAAAATTGAAAAACCTAAGTAATCTAATTTGTAAAATTAAGCACGAAAAAAATCGTGTATATTTACTTGTTTTTAATTTTTTGTGTCCATTTTCCTTATGTACCTTTTTATTCTTTCACACTTTTGTTTTTCCCCTTTGTATAATTTAATTAATTTTAAGTTTTACACAATATATATTATTTAAATCGTACAACATTAAATATGGGAAATTGTGAAAGCGGCGAACAACAGAAAAACAGGGAGCTTGACAAAAAGCTGTTTGATGTGAGTTTGTTTTCTTTCGAGTGGGCTAATTTTATTAGTAAAGTTCGTGACCTTATCTCAAAATTTCGAGTCTACAACTAGTTTAATTGAAGAGTAATGGGCAGTACTGGGTATTGTGCATTTGTTGGCTCCGGCTGGAGGTCCGGGCTTTTAAAATCTTAGTTCCGGAAACGTCCCATCACTGATGATTGGTTCCCAAAGCTTTCTTTTGGAGACTTGCCATGCTCCACGACTGTAGTCTTAGGGAATGTTCACTCCAAGTCCGCAAGGATTTGTGAAGAAAGTTTAAGTCTCCATTGCAAAGACATGCCATAACCACAATTATAGTTTTATTTTTTTCACCCTAGTTTCTAAGGATTCGTGAAGAAAGTTGGAGGATTTATTAGTAACCCAGGGGGTTTTAAACAAAAATTGATGATTAGAAAAATTATAAACTAATTGATGATTTTTTGTTAAATTTCTATTTGGTAATTTTCTAAGGCATGGGTATATTTGAAATGTAGCAAATTATACTTAATATTAATTAGTTTATAATTATTAAAATAAATTGTGAAAATTATACCCTAGTATTAGAGTCCTGACCACAAGCAAAGTTATAATTTTGTAAGCTTGAACAAAGTTCATAGCTATAAAATTGGAGTAAATGCACCCCCTGCCAGTAATTGCTTGACCACATCACGGACAAGAGCTCTACGGACTGACAAATGAGGGGCGCTGCTTCGCATTCTCTCTTAAAAAGTCTTAAACCTCCGGCCTAGTAGACATTTTAAATATTATCCAACCGGATCTTCCATTCCTTACATACGTTATTCATTTCCGTAATTCATTAAAATTTTCAGGATTTTGAGGCTCAAAAGAAAATTGTAAAGCTACTGCTTTTAGGCAAGTCTAAAATCTTTAATTACTCTGCCAATTTAAAATTTAATTTTTTAAAGGTGCTGCCGAGGGTGGCAAAAGTACACTGCTTAAACAAATGAAGTGAGTTTGATAGAAAAAATAAGGATGTCATCTAGGTGATACACATCCTTGGGGACTGAAAGAACTGTACAATACTGTGGGAGTTCACATAGGCAGCTCTCTCCTCCTCCCCGCCCAATAGTCAAAAGTATATTCACAAAGGGATGGGATTCAGCTTCCGTCTACCGTTTTTATAGTTTCGGTTTTTGAAAGTGGGGAAGTATAAGACAATTTTTTGCAGAGGTCTTATACTTCCCCAGAGCTCTTTTTTGCCTTCTGATTTAAAAATGTGGAAGAACCCCTCTCTATTATACTCCTAGTTATAAGGCATTCTACTGACAAATAAAGTCAACAAAAAACAAACACAAAGCATAAAAAATAATTTTAACAAACAGAATAATCCATGACAACGGCTATAATGAAGTAGAAAGGCTAGAACGGAGACAGGCAATCTATAGAAACATATTAAGTGGAGTGGAATCATTAATAATAGCAATGCAGAAAATGGAATTGAGATATTCTACAAAGGAAATAGAGGTTAAAGATTTGAAATAATAGCACAATCATTGCTTGTGCTTACAAAAATAAAACAAATTCCCGTCATTCTAAATTGTTTATAATTCGCTATATAGTTTAATCTTTATTTTTAAATTAATAATTTTTAAGATACGGAGCAAAACCAGGCGCAGTTTTCATTCCATTTGGTGTTATTCATGAAGCGAATACTTCAGCTACCTTAAAAGATAATAAAAATAGCAAATCCCGTCGTTACTTGGTCTTTACTATTGTATATACCACAGATCGAATCGAACATATTTCCGAAATCGTACTTCACGATACTTTTTAATTTATGAATCCCGATTTCCAAATATTAATATTTAACCTTAGCCCAAATACACTTTAGTCAGCCCAGCCACAACTTAGCCCAGCCTAGTCCAAAAATAGGTGCGGGTAAATAAATCAATGATTAATTTAAACGTTATGTCTTGAATCTGTCCGAGGCCTGCCGGGATCGAAAGGAAGAAAATAAGAGTTTATCCAAAGTGGAAAGGTAAAGCTCTCCTTTAAAAGCTCTCCCTCCACTACATTAAATATTAGCCAGTGCAAAGCACGGCTTACAAAAATAACTATGCAAACGACAAGATCCGTTTCGCTTAACAAAATACGTTTCTCTTATAAATTAAATTATGTAAAATTTGCTATTTTTTAAAACTATAGATTATTACTGTAAACAGAAATGCGCTGAGAAAGAATAAATAACCTTACAATTGAACCGCCAGTCAATACCAAATATGTTCTAGAATATAAGCTAAGGAAAGAATCAGTCAGAATAATAGTTAATCACAAAGTTCGAAAAGAGACTGATTGAAAAAAGTAATGTAGAAGATGTATGGGTTGAGTCGGCTTCTTATTACTTTTTTGATACCTCTCCCCAAGGGGGGAGTGACTATAGGAAGGGGGAGGCTCTAATACTGACGAGATTGACGAGATGAAACAGCCTTGGCCTTTTATACTAAGCATGTAACCAATTATATTAGCCTAAGCATTGCTTGGCTTACAAAAATACTATAGAGAGCTGCAAAGGCAAAACACATATATAGCTAAAGAAAATCCAAGTTTCTTTTATGGATGGGGTTAATTAAAAATTTAATATTATTAAAACACAATTTGAACTAATTTAAAAATCATTTTTAAAGGATTGTGCCGATAGAGTGACGGAAGTAATTAAACGAAACGACGAAAAGATTAAGCTTCACCCAGAATTGAAAAATGCTATTGCAAATATTTGGGCAGATCCAATTATTCAAAAGGAAATAGCTCCGAGAGGGAATGAATTCAATTTTAACGAGAGCTGTCCTTAGTGAGTTTAAAATTAATTATTCCAAGTTTGGGTATAAATCAGGGCTCAATGTGTGGGTAACCTTTTGTACTTGTTAAATGAGCTTTACTATGGTCTATCACAATCAAATGCAATTGTGATACTGTTTGCGTAGGTCCAATACTTAATATTAATTATTAGATTATTTTATACTTAACTTGATGTACTTAAATAAGATTTTGGTTGTCGACAGATGTAGAGTAGTTGTCATTTTTTGGAAGTTGAATCGAGAATTCAACTAAATTTTTTAGCAAGATTATTCTGTTGAGGTGTGTGTGATACTAACAGGACTTGACCAAGAAACACAATTATATGTGTGGATTTTTCACATTTTGTTTTTTGATGAGCCAATGAGAATTATTTTTAAAAATTTGGATTATTTGTTGGTTGAAATTATGAGGATTTGGAACTTATGCAGTTTAGGTATCCTTTTTTAGCCACGCCCCTTTTTCTCTTTCCACCATCAATCAACTTTATTTTGTACACAATGGTCAGTCTTTCCTTCTCCCTTTTTCTTCTCCACAGCAATCAATTTAGACGAGTCGTAATTTTTATTTTTAAATCCTTTTAGGAAATATAAGTTAAATTGAATGAAAAATCGAATTATAAATCTTAAGCAGGGCTGCACACAACTGAAAAATTTTTTCCGCAGCCGTAATCCGCAATTTTAATTTTAAAATCCGCAGCCGCAATCCGCAAGTCAAAAAAACACGCAATTTCACGCAATCCGCAATTGCATGCAGCAATTTTTCTTCCAACAGTCAGAAAAAGGAGAAGGAAAGGCTTACCATTGTGTACAAAATAAGGTTGATTGATGTTGGAAAGAGAAAAAGGGGCGTGGCTAAAAAAGGATACCTAAACTGCATAAGTTCCGAGGATTTTTTACATTTTCTTGTGGTTCCTTGCAGCTTACACCTTAGGCTGTGAAGTAGGCGGTGTGGCGTAATGGATAACACATCAGTCCGGTCTACTGAAGATGCTTGTTTGCTCCCAGCCGCAGATTAACCCTTTGTACTAGCTGAAGGAGAGAAATGCTTATAACCCTTTCCTGTTTTACTTTCGTTTATAAATAGTTTAACTCACTCTAGGCGTTTTATTTTAAGCGAATCATCCTTAAACTGTTATCTTTGAGATTAAAAATATCGTAAATTTTAATTAATAGTATCTAATGCTGGGGACGGGGGGTATCTTAAAATGAGTCAATTACGATTGTGTTAAGTTCTGCTTGAGTATCCTGTGTCAACTCTCATTCAATACTTAATATTAATTATTAGATTAATTTATACTTAATTTAATGTGCATATAAAGTTGGTTTGAGCGGGGGTGAGCCAATGGTTGTTATTTTTTGGAAGTTGAATCGGGAATTCAACTAATACTTTAAGCAAGATTGTTCTTTAACTACTTAAGTTGTGTCCGATACTAACAAAAATACTGGACTAATAAGACGTACCTTATCAGAAGAAACAATACAAGAGAATAAGCGAGACTGCGCTGGACTACAATACTAGGGTAAATGTCCAGTTCGCTATCTACCTGTCCGCAAATGGAATGCTCACTTTTCCTTCCATTTTTCCATTTTTTGCGTGCTCACCCATTTTTCCTTCTTGCTGATACGGCATAATTTTTCAGTTGGAAAGGAGAGAGAAAATGTGGTTGGTTAAGTGCTGCGAACCAGGGCTGGGCGAAATAAATAAATTTTATTCCGAATCGAAGCGAAATAAAATAAAAATTAAGGAATTAATATTTTTCATATAAAAAAAGTTTGAAATCGTTAAAAAATGATAAATATAGACCCCAATAGCTAGATTCGAGACAAAGACATCACAAAGCCAAGAGAGGACCCTCAAATCTACCGATATCCAGCTTAACCCTTCAAATCCAAGCCCTTAATCCCCCTCCAAATTCCCCGATGCAACTTCAACTCTCAAATCCACCTATATTTAGGGATTTAAATGGATATTAATGGATTTTCAGTGAAGGGATATTGAAGGATTTTGGGGATTTCGGGTCATTTAATTGGTTTTTATACATATTCTTTTCTCTCCTTCTTCTCTCCTTCTACGGTAAAAAGGAAAAATAGACGAGCACGCAAAAAATGCAAAGAGGGAAGGAAAAGTGAGCATTCCATTTGCGTACAGGTAGATAGCGAACTGGACATTTACCGAATACTAGCTTAACTACGGAATAATGCACACGGGCACACGCGACTACTAAAAGGCTTCCTTCACCTTCTATACTAACGCTACACTAACAGAGATGTTCAAGTTGCCGATGAGATAGCTCTTATGGCTCGCACAATAAACTAGTGTTTATAACGAATTCCCCTTTGTTAGTCTTTATCTATATATAATAGTAAAAAGGCAGTCAGCTAAAAAAAAGTCCTTTGGAAGTTTGAGAGGTCGTAGAGGGGTGGGGTTTTTTGCTATAGATGCGCAATACTATGTAGTTTTCAGGAAAACCTCCAAAAGTTGGGAGAAAGGGGCGAATTTTTTAGATATTTCGAAAAAACGTGTTTTTTCGAAACTTTGGAGTGAAATTTGAATATAAAGATGAAGTCGGGGGAAGTTGGGTCAGTTACAAGGTTGAAGCACCACAACATGTAGAATATGATAGAAAAAGAGTTGAAGTCGTTCGGACGACGGGGAGGGTAGATGTGCCTGTTGACAACTTTTTTGTCAAAGTGGTAACTAAGGATTTAAGGTGTTTATCGACGAGATAGAAAAAAGTTGTTGGGAGAGAAGTTGTAGAGCATGTTGGGTTTCTTAAGAAAAAAGTTGGTTTCAAGTTGATTGGATTAAAAGAAAAAAAGATATGGAGTAAAAAGTGAATTTTTGAAGAGAATGTGTAAAAGTGACCTTAACTATGTTTTATTTCAGAGTTAGACGAAAATTGTTGGGAGATGAAAGATAGAGAATTAAATTCTGCATCTAATAAGCTTTGTTTTATGTTAATTTAACTTTTTTGCACCGAGTTATGAATTTTTTAAAAAATTAAAATTTTGGGAAAAAATTTTTAAATTTGACGGTCTAGACCGTCCGATCTGGAAAGTTAAGCAACGGTGAGACGGTTTTTGTAACTTTTGAAGTCGTTATCGGAAAAATATGATTGAGGTGTCATTCGACGTGTAAAAATCAAGCGAATTTTTTTGAAAATTTTTTGAAAGGGTCACTTGAGTCTGAGGGTGGAATATTTGAGTCTGAAGGCTAAAATCAGTGGAAATGAATTTAATAAATTCTAAAAATTAATGGGAATATTAAAAAATAAATTTTTAGTAAAAAGTACACTTGAGTCTCATTTATACTTTCAGTCTGGGACTGAAAATTTTTATAAAATTATTTCATTTTACAAATTTTTGAAATAAAATTTAAAGGTTGTAACGCGTCACAGAAAACACGTTGCCAGAGATTTAAATTATTTTTTTTAATTCAGAACGCGCTGCAGAAAACGCGTTGCCGGAGGCAACCGCCGGAATTAAAAATTATTTTTTGAAGAAATAGGAACGCGCTGCAGAAAACGCGTTGCCGGAGGCAACCGCCAGACTTTAAAATTATTTTTTAAGAAATCGGAACGCGTTGCAAAAAACGCGTTGCCGGAGGCAACCGCCAGACTTTAAAATTATTTTTTAAGAAATCGGAACGCGTTGCAAAAAACGCGTTGCCGGAGGCAACCGCCAGACTTTAAAATTATTTTTTGAAGAAATCGGAACGCGTTGCAGAAAACGCGTTGCCGGAGGCAACCGCCAGACTTTAAAATTATTTTTTAAGAAATCGGAACGCGTTGCAGAAAACGCGTTGGCGGAGGCAACCGCTAGAAATTAAAATTATTTTTCGAGGAAATCGGAACGCGTTGTCGGAGGCAACCATCAGAAACTAAAATTATTTTTTAAAATTCGAACGCATTACAGAAAACATGCGGGCCGAAGGCCCGCATGTTTTTTTATGACTTAAATTCAAAAGTTTATAACTTTTGAAGTATTAGTCGTACAAAAATGCTTGAGGTGTCATTCGATTGAGAATTGAATGAGGAGTTGAATGAAGATATTTTCAAAGGTTTCACTTGAGTCTGAGAACGGACATTTGAGTCTGAAGATTATAAATACTGGGAAATTAACGGAAATTGCTTTATTTAAATTGTAATAACGCTGGAGTCAGCCTTAATACCCAAAAGCTATTAAAACTACTCAGCAATTCGCGCCGAACGCTGGTTATCTATATATAATAGTAAAAAGGCAGTCAGCTAAAAAAAAGTCCTTCAGAGTTTTGAGAGGTCGTAGAGGGGTGGGGTTTTTTTCTATAGGTGGGAAATTTAATGTAGTTTTCAGGAAAAATCCGAAAAGTGGGGGAAAGGGGCGAGTTTTTTAGATATTGTGAAAAAACGTGTTTTTTCGAATCTTTGAACTGAAATTTGAATATAAAGATGAAGTCGGGGAAAGTTGGGTCAGTTACAAGGTTGAAGCACCACAACATGGAGAATATGATAGAAAAAGAGTTGAAGTCGTTCGGACAACGGGGAGGGTAGATGTGCCTGTTGACAACTTTTTTGTCAAAGTGGTACCTAAGGATTTAAGGTGTTTAGAGGGGTCTGAGCAAACAGTGGTTGGGAGAAAAGTTGTAGAGCGTGGTCGGTTTCTTAAGAAAAAAGTTTGTTTCAATTTGATTGGATTAACAGAAAAAAAGATATGGAGTAAAAAGTGAAATTTTAAGAAAGTTGCATAAAAGTGACCTTAACTTTATTTAGTTTTGGAGTTAGAAGAAAAGTGTTGGGAGATGTAAGATAGAGCATTAAATTCTGCATCGAATAAGCTTTGTTTTACGTTAATATGATTTTTTTGAGCCAAGTTATGAATTTTTTAAAAAATTAAAATTTTGGGAAAAAATTTTTAAATTTGACGATCTAGACCGTCCGATCTGGAAAGTTAAGCAACGGTGAAGCGTTTTTTGTAACTTTTGAAGTAGTTATCGGAAAAATATGATTGAGGTGTC